ATTAATCTTTCATAATTTTCTCACCTTAATTTCGCGGTAATTTGCATCGTGATTGGTACAAACTCAATTAAAACTTTATTGTTTTAAATCAGGTTTATTTTTTTGCAAATTTTGGTGTGAGAAAGCCGTGCTTCAGCTCGAATGAGCTAGCTCGGTTGAAGTGATACTCCGGCATCCCTGAAGACCAGCGTGATATAACGCTTACGTTATGTTCAGCCAAAAAATATTACAAATTTTATCTAAGTATTTTATAAATGACAGTTCTATTTATCACTGAAGCTCAAGGTTTTATTTACATGACCGAACATCAAATTCTTACTTGAAATATTTTTTAACACAATTTTTCTATTTATGTCAATTCAAGATTAGAGTGGGACATGACATGTCAGACTTAGTAAAAATGCCAACAAGCTCTTGTGAAAATAATAAACAAACAAGTAGGTATTTCAATTGGAGACTCGGTTGCCATTCAAGAGAGAGAAAAGGGTATATATCTAAAACATAATCCATAAAAATACTGTTCATAAGAGTAACAAAGATCGAATTGAATAGATTTCCGGCACGAGTTAAGCACGTAGTGACCATGAGGTGCCGTCTAACGAGGGTTGGGCGACGAATTTTTGGGCTCTCGAATCGACGACGTGCTATTTGTCGTTGTTCGGAAAATACTCCGCTAAATAGAATAAAAATGGCGATTTAACAATGGAGATAAAAGAAGTTATTGATGCAAAATTTATAACCGTTGCTGATTTATGTTTTTGACTATACATATTTTATTGTTGCTGTATAGGTATGTGCTGGTGCTTACTTGCGACAAATAACTGATGGTATAAAACATAATTCTTTATTTTAATAAATCACTAAGGAGAATCCAGAATTGTCTATTCCATCATCGTGCATACACTATTCATAAATAGAATCATAAAACATAACAATCACTTTAAAAGTTTTTTTTTGTACTAAACCAAATTCACTCTGAACCTAAATAAGAATTGAATTCAGACTCAGTCATTCACGCTCGAGATCATTCCAACAACATAACAGTCACAAGCAAAAAACAGATCTGCCGAAAGTAACGAAACATTTGTTGGATAAGGGCGATAGTATTATCCAATTTCACGTAAGCCTACATCAAGTAACGTGGAAATAAAAAGTATATTGGGCAGATAAACATAGCGCAAGTAAGTGGGTAAGTACCTATATATATTATTTCTTTCTCACATCTTATGGCGCGTGCCCTATAACTGAACACAGAACTTTTGATTTAAACATAAAGTTTGTCTGTTCATTGCACGCTATAATTCAGTGTTACAAGCATCCCTCGAAGTATTGCGCGATTCGCTTCGGTATTTGTTTATCTGTGGTGCTAAATGGTTTAATACTTAGGTACGCTAAAACTTTTTACTTAAAATGTAAGACAAGTATCTGGGTACTAAATACGACACTTATAATTTATTTTAAATACTCAAAACAGAATTTATGTAACGAAAAGTTTTACCCATGATTTTATGAAGCTCCTTTTTCCGTTTTCGTTAATTTTAATATTATGCACGTAGTTAATTTTAGTTGAGACAAATAATTGTCTATATTTGCTGCCAACTAAGTTATAAGAGTAAATAAAAACACTTTTTATTTCAAAGCTAGCAACGGAACGTGTAATTAAAATAGCAACGTTGCAACCGGAGTAGCCAGTGAGGTAAAAACGCAACTTTTTAGGAAAGTAGGAATGTCGTCAGGTAAGTAAAAGGTGTTCCGTGTAGCTGTACCTACTAGTAATCGGTACGAAAATCTCGCCTCTTTTTTTAAATATTTAAGTGAGAAAAGCTATTATACCATTTTGTAGGAAATGCTCGCACTTTTACTGTATAAAGCGGCCGTTACGGCAAACAAAGTACCTAGCTACTTTCACCCGAGTGTAATTCCAGGGTTACTAACACTTTTCACTAAGTAAGTACTATTTTACAATCTGTAATATTTTCCAATGGTACATTCAGCCTTACCTATACGGAAGCACTTTTCTTTTTTGTTATTAAACTTCAAGAGGTTGTAATCTCGTCTCGATTAAATCAAAGCGAATTATAATTTTATGGTAAACAAATCTGTAGATTAGAACCTTGTCTCGGTGGTTTATACTTTCGAAACAAAATTAAATTAATTAATTTCCGAAATGAGAAATCTATCTTATCTTTAGATTTTTACTAGTAAAGCGCTCAGAAGGATTGGGTTTTGGAAGTAAACACAAATTTCCTCGAAGCATTTATATTCTTTTGTAAAAAAAACAACGGCTGACTGATCTCGTAATTTGAATTACGAACTGTGGTTAAATCAATTCGAATTGTGGACTGAGACAATGTTGCAACGTTCGGAAATTAAACAATTTATGTTTAAAATTATTATTGAGAAGTTTTTAATGGATATTACGCAATAGATTAGCTTGTGAAGTTAATAATATTAATAATATTTTGTCAATGTGTATGAATATGATTGTCGATAAAATTGAATATACACTAGACATAGGTATCCACTTAAAGTTGTGCTAGAATGTAGCCATTCAGTTAGTACTTTTCAAGATTATGTAGACAGTACTGACATAGAGATAAAAAAAAATCGTGGGGAAGTCTAAAATAATAATTTAAAATTACAAGTTTATTTTAGTTTATAGTCGCCAACCCTCATCGGGCAAGCGTGGTGAATAAAGCTCAACCCATATAAGAGGCGTTTATGCAGCAGTGGGTTCTGATAGGATATTGATGATTCCGAAATAAGACACAACAACTAGTTGAAACCTTTCATCATCAACTACCTGTATACGCACTGCTGGACTATGCACCTACTCTACATACTCTGGGCAGGTTTTTGGAAAAAGAAAGGTGGAACATATATTTTCTATGCCGTCACAACATAGTACTAAATCAATTAAAACCCTTGACATTATTTAATACACTTTAAAACTAATTTTTCAACGTAAAACTGAAAAAAAGATAAAGAAAATTCAAATTGAATCAGCCGTACCGAGCATCCAAGACAAGAGTTAAAGGACATCTTTCTCGTTGAAACTTCACAATGTAATTTAACTGACTAATGCGTAACAGTTGCCAGTTATGCTTCGTTATATAACTACATCAAAAATAATAATGAACAAGGCGCATATTATTAAAGGTTCGTAGCAAAATGGCTACGTCGTAGCACCAGCGCAGCACCGGCACCGGTGTATCTTTTCGTAGTAACCGGTCGCTACGCTCGTCCTGCATTCCTAATGCGTTTTTGACAAAACTGAATGTTACTTGTGCCTGCAGTCACGTTTCTCATTTTGAAAGTAACTTGCTATTCTAAGGAGTTTTAATTTCGTTTTACTAATAGTTCGAAGTCAGAAATTGATACTTGCTAACATTAAAACTCCAAATCAAGTCCTAATGTCAGAATTTTGTGTAGGTACCTACAGATATACCTACTTAGTTCAAAAATGTATGTATATTCGAAAAGCTTTCATTTTTTGTTCATTACATTAAATTCTAAAAGAATTATTTAACCATTTTATACTTATTAAAAATATTCGCTAATTAAATTCACATAATATATACTTGATTAAATAGGATTGAACTTATGAACTTAGTTTCATTATTATCTAGCTATAAAATAGGTGCTTTATATGAACACTAATAAAATTCAATATTTGCTTAACCTTATTTAAATTACCAAAAACTTAGTGCGTAATAATATTGTGTAACATAACATCAACCTTTTAAGACATGCAGCGCCACCTAGTACGCGACGCCTAGACTAAAATGACCACCATTCTAGTCTAGGCGTCGCGAGCACAGAACAGAAAATTAAGGTGGTGAGTATACTCAAGTAGAAGAGCAAGTTTATGCTTTCTGATAACCAATTTTTAAGGGGGGCGCCACTAACGTATGTATATTTGTATAATTTTTATAGAAATAGACTTGTTAGAGAAATAAAAGTACTACACGAACTAGTTTTTTATTTAGACTTTTATCAATATCTGTAGAAGTTAATCATTTCAACACACAAACTATATTTCGATCTTAATACCTCCTAGGACCCGACTCCCATGTAATTATACTGAGTACCTAACTGGGATAATGACTATGATTGATAGGCACCGTGTAACGCTATACTTGCTTGTGACATAATAACTAATTAATTGCTATTAATGAGATGGATGCAGATTAGATCCGGCATTAGCTAATCGGTCGTTTTGTTGTTGCTCTTGAACGTTTGGCAATTATGTAAAATAAGTTCATTGGCTGCATTGATTACCCTGTAAATTACTCGCCTGTTATAAGCATGATATGTAGTTAGGTACTTCCACAGATACTGCAGTGTCAATGTGATATGTTTCTGTGCCTTTGCCCACGTGCTAGTGGTCTGACAGGCCAGGCGACTTTGTCTCAATCTATATACTAGTCTCAATCTATAGACTTTACAGAGATATTGAATGCAATAGGACTTCATTCGCTAATATTACTAGACTACAGTAGACAGGGTAATCTTAGACATAGGCTTAGGGTGTAGTGTAGGAACTTTTGAAATTAAAAAGTAACGAAACTGCCGCCACTGCCTTTGATCCGTAAAAACATGTTTTGTCTACTAAAAAATAAATCGTCGAATATGAGATAGGCCTAGTCCACATGCTTGCAATATCTTAAAATCAAAATCCTGACTATGGTCTATCGGTTAAGGTAATTAACTTAAAGGTAAACAATTTTGGCACGTCTTTTTTTACCTAAAACGTGTCTTAAAAAAGTTTACAATGGGGTATTTACCAAAAAATCTATGTTACCTAATAAACCTAATTTAAATGATATTTTTATGCATTTCATACGACCTCTTTAATATAAAAAGCCATGGTTAGATTGTTTACCTTAATAATTAAAGTCTCCATAGAGCATAGTGACAAAAAGGTAATTGTTAAATGGTAATGATTTCAATTCTGTTTCCCTTCACACACACGTTTTGAAATGTGAACCAAGCATGGGCTTACTTTATCCAATGAAAACACAGAATTGTAGATTTTGGTTGTTTATTTCTCAGGAAGCAAATGATTCACAGCATTGGTGGGATACAGAGGTCTGACAATACCGGGCCGAAACATTCAATTTCCTGAAATTTAATTTTACTAGCAATAGGTACAACAGCTTAGAATATATAAGTACCCAAATATAAAAACGTGGGAAAACAACGTTACATAGCTGTAGAATAGTATTTATTTAGTAAAGCGAGTTTTTTTTATATTTTTTTATAAACTACACACCTTACTAAATCACAATTTCTAATTATGTCAAAAATTATGTATCACATTTATAACATTCTGTACAAAGTAAAAAAATATTTTCATACTCCACTAGACAAAGTAAAGCTGCATAGACATTTCGACCTTTATAATAATATTGTTGCCTATGTAGAAAACAAACTTTTAGTTTACACATTTGACGATTTCACTGAAAATGTACCTACTTTGTTGAAAACAATTGAGCAGACACAAACAGCAAGACAATCCACTTGAATATCACACTCAATTGAACCTTATAACATGATATGCAGTAGTAATGCTTTCATCTTATTGCATCGACAGTACCACATTGGGGCTAGGCTACAGGCGTACTTACAAAGTTACAAATATTAAGTTACTCTTTCTATGTTTAATCTATATTTCAACTTGTTTTAAATATCATAATAAAATTGTTAAGATATAAATAACACAAAAGTTACGTTATGTGGACTTACAACCTTCATAAGGAGTGACATATCATGTATCTTACAAAATAATAGTCCCTTACGGTTCTGTTAACAGTTACACTATAAATAAATCACTTACAACACACAAATATATTCTCTTCTATCATTAAATTGTCGGTGCGTTGAAGGCACAAAGCTCTACAAACATAGTCAGTGTGTACATACAAGAGAATACAATCGTCCAAGTGATGAACAACATCAACAAGTCGTCAGCAAGCTGCATGTCTCGAGGCCACAGTCATACCTCCCCACACCCACCCATGCGTCACTCATCTGACTCGATTAAAAAAACATTACTTTAATAATTATGCAAAAACAATTATACAACCCTTCTAATTTGAACTTTTTTTCAAAAACTGGGACTTTCAAATGCAAATTGTGATTTGTGACAGTGATCATAGAGAAACAATCGAATATACTCTATAGGGACATTCAAATTATTACAACGTAATTTACAAATTTAATATAGTCAATCTCTAAATATTAACTAATTTATATAAACTGAATTATTTACAAAATATGAACACATCGGATGCGACGTGTCATCTCTCTTACATATTTGTAACTATTTACAATGACTATTATTATAAACATTAATTAAGAGCATTGCATTTTCGTGAGCTTGATCAAAATAATCCCTTGTTCAACTCATATGTATAAAATGGTACACTACTAGGTACATTCACATGAATATGTGGCCAGTCGCAGTACTCAGCTCCTCTACCATAGACACACAGTCCCGATCATGAGTGGCAGATGCTCGACTTGCAGTCAACATCGTTACTATTAGCTTTTAGAAGTCGAATAATTAGCTAGTATTAGAGATCAGTCTTCGGACAAAGGAAACAAATTCAGTACTTTAGTATATAAATCTTCACAATTCGACTTTCAACTGTATATTAAATATTTTAGAAGTTAACATCATATTTACAAATTCTGATGATTTGGACAATAACATGTGTTACATAAAAAGTTGTAGAAGAAATAGTCAAGGCAGAGCTAAGAATTTTAGGGAACTCCATAGCATGTCAAGTTGTATGACATGCAGTGGGCAGCACTATGTTTAAATTGAAGATAGATTTGGTTTATCCTAAAAATTATTCACACTTGCTTGATTGATTATATTATTAACAATTAAAACAAACACTAGAATATTTCTATCATTATGTTAATACACTATCTTATAAAACCATGTCGCCTAATGAAATTTCTTAACTAATCGACTAAATTCAATTTTTCAACTCATACCAATTTCAATTTGTACTAATGTAGATGTACTAACTTGTCATGTGCATTGTGTAACATAAATACGACAATTTTATATGGAACTTAAAATACATATTTATGTCTGATAACAATTCCAAAAGCAACCTTTTAAATATGTGGCAAGAACTATTAATTTTGAAATTCATTTGTGATGATTTCATACCTACCTAGAACTATATTATTTATAGAGTCGGAAACTGGTTTAGAAAAACTATAAATAAGTATTGATGGGACTTAATTCACTGTATCATGCTACCACTTAAATTAAATTTAAAACTCCATACTGACTAAACATGAAAATTATATTATACACCAATTTATGGCACTCATTTTTAATGACATGTTAACTATTTGTAAGATAATAAAATTGATCAAATTATGTGTTTGTACCAATTCGTTTTATCAACCTTTACCATACAAAACCTTAATTTTAAATTCTTTGAAGCTGCCGATTAAAACTATTTTTACAGGTGCTGCTGTTTAAATTGGAATTCCCTGAAAATTCTATACAAGAACTGTTTGTTTAGTGATTGTTTATAAATAATTGCACTTTCAATTTCGGATTATTTAACGATTTCTGATGTAGTTGATCTGTAGTTTTTGTTATATCGTGGTATGAAAATTGTTTTGCCTTGCAATCAGCAACCTCTCCCTGGCTACCGTGTTGGAACGACTAGAATTCGGGAAAAATCAACTACAACAATTACAGCTCAACTAAATGTTTGCAAAAATGTTTATAGTAACTTGATCCCAATGAAGTTTAGGAAATCGTTAGCCAGCAATTTCCTATACAAACACATTCGCTCACATTGCATTATTTTTAATAATACTTAACAAAATACAGGTCCAAACAGAAGAAACAATAACTTCATCATTTAAGTCACACATTTTAATATTTTGTAAGTTTTTCAAATTTATGCATTGGCCCTTAGGCTCATCAACAATGATCAACATTGCTCTCAAGTGACGAAAAATATGTTCTACACTGTAACTACTTGCTTCACCAAACAATTTTTTTATTTAATAACAATGACATGTGAGATTGAGAGAGAGAGTCTTTTTCTTATGTGTAACAATTATTTTTATTTTCAGTCACCAAGCACAAACCATCTGTTTTAGCTAATGATCATTTTACCAGACGTTCGCAAGGATTTTCAATTAAATAATTGGAATGTCATCAAATTCTAAATACATCGAAAGTGCAATTACTCTTAAACATTACAGATAAAAGTTCATCACCCTAATAAATTAGTCCGATAAGCGCTCGTAATATTAACATCATAATATATCTACCTAATATCTCGAACTACGTCAAAAGAAATCCTTCGGGTTTCACGTTCCAAGGGTTCATATCACGCCGGGTACCGATAGCAGCCGTACGGGCCGACCGGGGTCGATATTTACAATTTTTGACCTCACACTTTGGTACTAATCTGGACAGATCACACAAGGACGTCGCGAAGAGTTCCCTAGCGCTCGACGGCGCCCCTACTTGTCGCTCGGCTCGGGCGGCGCACCACCGAAGTCCAGCTGGTAGCCGCCCGCGCGCGTCATCTCCTCCATGCTGGGCTCCTTGCACTCGTGGCCCGCGTGGCCCGCCGCGCCGCAGTTCCAGCACGACAGCTTGGGCGGCGCGTACAGCACCGACACGAAGCCGGCGTACGGCGCCGCCGCAGGGTACGGGGGCGGCTCGCCGTTAGCGAACGGCGGCGGGGGCTGGCGGTACGTGGGCGGCGGCGTGGGGTAGCCGAAGGGCCGCGGGTACTGCAGGAACGGCACGGGAGGCGGCGCGGACGGCGTAGCGCGGCGCTGCGGCGGCGCCGGCGTGTCGGGTGGGGACGACGCGGCGCTGGACCCGCTGTCGGACGACGAGCGCGTCGCCGTGCAGTACGGACCGGTTAGTCGTCGCACTCCGTTTAGTTTCTCCAATGATCTATATTGCTGCTGATGGACCACCATGTTCAGTTCTCTTAATCGTTCATCACCGATATTATGCCGCATCTGGGAATAAAATACATATTTATCCGCTATTTTAAATGTTTTAGTATTGTTACAACTGTGAGACATACTAAGTTGATTAAAAATAACGACTTACTCACTAGTAGAGCTTTTCTCAGTTAATTCACGTGAATAAGCCGTTATTTTAAGTGTCGACTCTAATTTAATTGATAAATGATACTATTAGGAATTTGAAATCTCATTGTTATTAAATTAGTATTTTTTATTAAAGTCAAAGTAAATTTTGATGTAAAAAAAATCACTCTGCGGCTAGACTCGCCTCATTCGAAAACCGCGTTAATGCAGAAGGCTGTCTGTGGCGAAGAAGTCCTGCTGCAAACACGGTGAAGGGACCGCGATGCTGCGGAGAGTGACCCACCTCGGCGACAGACATGTTTTCAAAGTTGGCGGCAAGTTGGTGCGGCAGTGAAGGCTGGTCGGGGGGCCCGACTGGGGGAGGAGGCGGCGAGCGGTCCCGCGATAGTCGGCGGCGCGAACGTGGCGACGCGGCGCGACTGTCGCCCGGCGACGACACTAGAGGCGACGTCGGCGCACCACTAGCAGCCGTGTAATTTATTACCTGCAAACAATTCAACTATAATATAACAGACTTCAACAATATGTTTAATATTAACAACACAAAATGCAAAACAGCAGATTATAATTTTTGTATTCTGATTTGTCTTGGCAACATTCCGCATACACGCAAATTAATGTCATACTTAATGTTTGCAATAATACATCACTTTACAAAGCAGTTATATTGACTAACTGGCCTATTTAGCAGAGCTTAGCCATTTACTTGCAAATATAGTGTGAAACCAGTACGCTTTGAGGTGACAAAATCTACTCCAGACTATATCATTACTTTAAAAATTTTATTTATTGTTTAATAATTGATGCAATTTTAGTTATATCACATACCTCCTATGGTTTAAGTGGTCATGAATATGACAAGGACACTTAGTTGGGATGGATAGATTTAATTATATTGATCTAAAAAACAGGTTTATAATGTAGAGTAAGTTAACAAGCTTATTAAGTTTTTTGTCATGATCCTTAAATCTATAAGCACTAAATTTTATAGATTAGTATACAACTACCGGTGCTTCAAACATTTACTAGGACAAATAAATATAACATCTAGTTGCTGGAAAACACAGTCCCCATATAAGTTAAGAATTAGCATATCAAAATCATTTACTTAAGAGTTTCATTATGACACCTGAATATAACAAGATAATTTACTGAGTAAAACATGTTTAATATAGGTACTATTATCTGAATTGAAATTCCCATATTTGTGAAAGTATTAAATACTTTGAGGCCCTGAAAATTTGTGTACTTTGTTAATTAAAGCAGAGAATAATCAAAAACTCACTTCGAGTGGTTGATTTATAGGTGATACTATGATATTTGCAGGCCACGCATTGTGTCCTATGTAGTCTCCCATGTTGTACTGTGGCATCGGTAGACCAGGAGGTGGGTGAGGGACTTCACCCAACATTTGCACTACTCCCCCGGCTCCTGTCAGAACTGGCGGAGAGCTGAGTTCAGGCACTGTGTCTGTACTAGGCGGCTGGAACATTACACACTTTATATAAACACAACTTAATATTACTGCCACCATTCATACCCATTTGTACATTCTGTTTTTCAATGCAACATGTTGATATGAAAACATAACCTATAAAGTTGTGTTGACATTAATAATGTATGATAATGAATATATGAAGAAATTACAATTTTTTCTCACAAATACCATGAAAAGCAAGTAAAATAAGTATGATGTATTATTAACAGTGCAATGTTTTTATTAAAATGAATAAAAAATGGTGATTGCCAACTGAAAAAGTTGGATTGTACAATAAAGAGAAGTTAAATAATGCCTATCCTGATATGAACTTTGCCAGTGTGATTGGCTTGTGTTTTTCGCTATAAATCTATATAATCACACATGATAGAAAGATGTCCATAGATACATTGTTAAATATATATCAATAGATATTGCTTTGCAAATAAAAAAATGTAAATGTGTATCAATGTCATTTTTATCCAATTACTACACTGTAAAATTAATACAAGAATTAAGATTTATTTAGAACAAATCTGTAAGTTAACTACTTGAGAATTCATTAAAATCAGTTATCAATAGTTAATGGGTATGGACTATAGGTATCAAAAGTCAAAACTATTGTAACATTTACTGTAACACATTTTTGGTATAATTTTAGGGTATGATATAAATTGATCTAATATTATCATTATACCCACTAAATAGACTATGTTTAGCCATGAGCTAAATACCAAAGTTGAATGTAATTTCATTGGCATATCACACATAAATGGCATTTATCATACAAATATTCTTATTTAATCAACAACCTTGAGTATAAGGATATTTTTTATTGATATATTTAAATAATTCAAAACTAAATAAAACATTGGACTGAAAAGGTTTCAATGAGATTGCAATACAATGATAAGCAACCCATGTAAACAGATGGAAAGGTAATGTAAGGTAATGAGTAATGACAACACTGACCTGCACCCCAGGTGTTTTGACAAACACAATACCAGGCGGTGGCCCCAAGCTAGACAAGTTAGGTGGTGGGATTGTCATGTTGCCTGTGATATTAGATTGTGTATGGCATGCACTCACTGGTACTACGTTTATATGATCTTGTGGCTCTGGAAATTGTATCCTCTGGTCTTCCATTTTTAATTTCTCTAGTATTTCACCAAAATGCGACTTTTGATCAAATGTAAACGCTGGATGATGTAACGCCATTGTGTACAGAAGTAAAATTTCTTCGAGGAGATCGCCGTACAAGCCTTTCAACAAACCACTCTGCTCCAAACTGACCATGGCATTGTACAATGTGGTAGCACACGCGAAATTACACGAACGCAGTAACGACACATACAAGGCCATTTTCCGCCGTGTCCTGGGGTCTGTGTTGGCGCCTCCAATGTCCGCAGCCAGGTCTGTGGGGTTGTTAGCTCTCAGTTCAGCACCACGCAACTCCTGAAAGTCCCGCTTACCCAGCTCCTCTAGGTATGTGCCAATGAAACGTAGTTCAAATGGCAAACACATATTTAATAACGTACACATCGCGTCTATGCGTTTATAGCTTTCCAATTCTTTAAACCATGATACCACGTCCTCTTTGCAAACCATTTCCAGAACACATTGAAATTTTATGTAAAGAATCAACCGGTCCCCTGCAGCCGAAGCGCGTCCGTTTCTTATAATTTTTGGCACACGCAATTACCGTAACAACGTGATGGTGTTAATCCAAGAATTTTGGATTGTAACATTAGTAATTATATGCTTTTTATCCGTATTTTAGAAGTACAGTATATTGGTTAAGCAACTACAGGCAATGCTAGTAGTTTTGTCTCGTCTATAGTCTATGAAATAGAGAACCCAAAGACAAAAGCATGCTTATAGACAAAGGTGCTACGTACAGAAGACAAAACTAGTTATTTAGAAACTATGCTATATCTTGTGGATTTAGAGTTGAAAATTCAATACCTTTCAGGCTTTGTATTTAATATGACAGTTGCCTTTCCCGTTTATGGAATTTGTTTCTATAATCAACTCGCACATACTTTTTCTTGAAAATGTAAAATAATAAAATATTCTAAGATCTTATTCTATTTCAAATTTATATAACAAACAAGATATTCTATGTAGTCTAATTTAGTTTTTAATTCAAATTTCTACAACTGGACCCGAGTCCAGTTTTGTTCTAAGGCGGCGACCAGATATTCGTGTCACTCCCGATTCCGATTAAGTGGGATTTACAAAAAATACTAACAAAAATGGATAGTAATAAGTACCCTCGGATAAATACGATATTTACCCTTCCAATATTTATCCACCGTCCATCGGTAATTCCATCTAATAAAAAGGGACGCAAGCAATCAATAGACGTTTTCCAATATTCTTTTTTAAAACTTCTTCTACGCTTTTGTTTAATTTTCTGGATATGTGTGCGACTAAACTAAACTGCAAACGTAACAGGGCCTGTTACGTTTGCAAGTTGAAGATTAAGATACTCACAACATAGTTCGATCTCGTGTAAACAATGCTTAATATTTGGGATATATGAATATCATGATTATTTTAATTATTTTACTGCACAGTTCAGAGCTTCACCGCAACCTGTCGTGGGTTCGATTTCTGCACGGAACAGTTCTTTGTGTGATCCACAAATTGTTGTTCCGAGTCTAGGTCGCGGGTGTATTGGAGGACAATGAGGAAAATTTTAAACGCAACCACGACACATGAAAAAATACTAGAGTGGACCAAGTTTTATTGAAAAAAAAAACCGAAGAATGCCAAATGTAGTCTTGCTATTTTGGAAGGGTATCCGAACATTTTTCGTCTTCAATGCGTTCCATATACCTATGATCGTATGTTACCATAAAGTTTGACATAAGCTAATTGTGAAACAGAGACGCGAGATACAAAAACGCATGTAAAAAAAAGAGAGAGATTATGAGAATTTGTTCCAGTGTTAAAAATTCGAAAACGTGTTATTGAAACGTTTTGTAGTTACTCGGCATTTTTTGACAAAAGGATCGAAAAATATTACAATCATTATTTTAGTTAAGATTGTTGGTGTTAGATTTGGTAAATTATTAAAGAATTTTTGAAATGGCTCCCGCCGAAGATGTAGAAATGAAAAATGTTGAAAGTCCTGCAGCAGCCAGTGATGCAGAAACCCCGGAGGTCAAGAAAGATGCTGATGTGCTTGCAGTTCAAGATTTGAGGGAACATGTAAGACAAATAGATAAAGCTGTAACTTCTAAGGAGCCACGATTTGCTATGAGGGTTTTGAGGTCACTTCCTAGCACTAGAAGGAAGTTGAACGGCAATGTTTTACGTGCTATTTTCAACCAACTTTATCCATCTAACGCTGACAAAGAGAGTTTAATTGCGTTTGTGGAAAACCCTCTGCCTGGCGCAGTCGAGATAGAACCACCCCGCTCTCGCAGTGCACCTAAGCAACCTGCGCCCGAAGTGGATGTTTACTTGCACCTGTTGGTACTGCTGCGCTTACTTGACACCAACAGGTTGGAGGAAGCTACTGAGTGCTCCCAGCAGCTGATGAATAAAATTCTATCTCAAAATAGAAGGACTCTTGACTTGATTGCTGCTAAATGCTATTTCTACCATTCAAGAGTGTTTGAACTGACTAACAAGTTGGATCTTATTAGAGGCCTACTTCATGCAAGACTGCGCACTTCTACCCTGCGAAATGATTATGAAGGCCAAGCAGTGCTTATCAACTGTCTTTTGCGCAACTATTTGCATTACTCTTTGTATGATCAGGCAGATAAATTGGTCAGTAAGTCAGTTTTCCCAGAAAATGCAAGTAATAATGAGTGGGCAAGATTCTTGTATTATCTTGGAAGGATCAAAGCTGCCCGTTTAGAGTACAGTGATGCTCACAAACATTTAGTTCAGGCTCTGAGGAAGGCTCCTCAGACTGCTGCTGTTGGTTTCCGTCAAACTGTTCAGAAGTTGGCAATTGTTGTCGAGTTACTTTTGGGAGATATTCCTGAGAGAGCTATATTTAGACAAGCACCTTTACGTAAAGCTCTGGCACCTTATTTCCAGCTTACACAAGCAGTCAGGCTTGGAAATTTGCAAAGATTTGGTGAAGTACTTGAGAATTTTGGTCCTCAGTTCCGTAGTGATCACACTTTCACTCTGATTCTTCGCCTCCGCCAGAATGTAATTAAAACTGCTATCCGCTCTATTGGACTCTCATACTCTCGTATTTCACCTAAAGATATTGCCAGGAAATTGGGTCTGGATTCAGCTGAAGATGCAGAGTTTATTGTGGCCAAAGCTATAAGGGATGGAGTTATTGAGGCTACCCTGGATCCTGAAAAGGGATACATGAGTAACAAGGAAAGCTCTGACATCTATTGCACGAGGGAACCACAGTTGGCTTTCCACCAGCGTATTTCATTCTGTCTGGACTTACATAACCAGAGTGTGAAGGCTATGAGATACCCACCAAAATCTTATGGCAAAGAATTGGAGAGTGCTGAGGAGAGACGTGAGAGAGAACAACAGGATTTGGAACTGGCCAAGGAAATGGCTGAGGAAGATGATGATGGTTTCCCTTAAATCTCCATTATTAATGTTAAATTAATAACTGATTCATTAGAAATGTAATTTGTGCATTAACCTTAATGTAATAAAAAAATATAACTGTTCTTAATTGTTTATTTTATTGGGCTAGGATTATGCTTATTTAAGTTTTGTGAAATGAAAATCATGTAATAAAACATAATTTTTCTCTTTCATAATTTATCAATACTGATTTGAACTGGTGTTCATCTTCCTAGGTGTCATTTGTTTTGTAAGTGTACCTGAAGATTTTTCAAAAATTTTTCATATAAACATATTTTCTTTACGAAAAGTAAAATAATTATCGGAATCGGATTTCATTTTGGAACTTTGGATTAATTTTAGTAAAATAAGTATCTATAAATAGAGACATTGATGTGAGACTTAGCCCTTACTGACTTAAAATCATCCTGTTCCATCTGCGCCGAGCCAGGGCCAAGATCCATTATTAGGCTCTCACCCGCAACCCCGACTGGAATGCTAAAGTAGACCTTTTTTTTGGGAGAGGAAATTATCATAAAAAATTATATTAAAAACACCCCCGTTCCTTCTTTTGCTCTAGGCCGAGGCCGCGGGGCTAAATTGCCGGTTGAACATCAGCCTTAAAGGACCCCGTCTGTGGTGGTCTAATGGATCCAAGTTGCGTGTGGAATGCTAAAGTCAAAAGTTAAAAATCATTTATTCCAATTAGACCTTTACAGGCACTTTTGAACGTGAAACAAAATTTTGAATATATAGTGTCAGTCTGTCGGTCAGTCCTCTTAGTGAAGCTATTTGCTCGTTCCAAAGTGTAGATTCCGATGGAGAAGAACGAGCAAGAAACTCCATGGTTACTCTTTTTAAATCAGTTTCACATACAGATTCCTTTTATAAAGTAACTTGAGGTCCTGTTAATTAAATTAATATTATATTTCCAAGGGTCAAGATATTGCATCGATATTATTTATAAATAAATACGACCTCTTGATAAATTAGCGCCATCTGGAGAGTATAAAAACGTCATCCCAAAATACCCTATAATAGAAGTTTCACAGTTTTTGAACTTGTTTTGGTATCTTAGCAACTGCATTGATTACACGTATCTACTGATTATTTGCGAAGAACTAGAATTTATAGAGAGAATACAGTTCAAGTAAAAATATTTTGATCTGAACAAAATGGAGTTCTCTGTGGAACATATGGAGAAGCTTGTCGATTTATTGAGACCACCAGAACCTGAAGTGCTACAAGGAGACGATTTACCTACAACTGGTTTGTATCTTTAGTTTTTTGGATAAGTAGGTACCTACCAATAAAAGCTTCGGTCTATTAAATGTTTATTAACTAGCAGTGTAGCACCTCTACTAAGACTTTTGTTAATTAGGTATTTAAATATTACTATAAAAAAATGTAGTCTGTGCACGTAGGTCTGATACAAATAATATTTTTAGGTCAATATTACAATCAAATGTGACTACAAATCCTAGTACAGCCTTTAGGTACCTACCTACTTATGTATCATCTGTAGGGTATAGCTAAGAGACATACATAATTATAAACTTACATAATCGCATACATACACATACATACACATACATACATACATACATACATAAATACATACATACATATAAATAACTCATACACAATAAGTCTAAACATTACACTAACAATCTATAAAAATATTTATTTTGTATTTGTATAACATCTGTACACAGCCTTATACGCACGCACGCTTGTACACACCCTTAGCTATACCTACCGTCCAGCCGCTAGCGGAGCCGCATCGGCCAGCGATCGCGCGCGCATCGCCGAACATTACTCGCGTAATATTTAAGTTAATGTACAAATATCTTATTAACTATTGTATGATAACTTTTGTATTTCAATAATAAACATTTATAAGTTAGTGCGTAGTGTTTAATTTCTACCTAAACACTATAGACACTACAGTGGTGACCCCGACGTGATTGGTGCTATTGATCTTGTTGTGCGATAGATGTCGCTACACCACTCCCCTCCGAGACCGGAGGTCGTCAGCTGGTTGAGTCTTCCGTGAGATGCTTGTCGAGCCAGTGGATGGTTCCAGTGAGTCGGAACTGATACCGCTTAGTTCACGGTGAGTCGGAACTGTCTGCGGTGATGCCCCAGTTAGTCGGGGTGATGATGCATTTTAGCTCCAGTGGGTCGGAGAGATGCATTGCTGCAGGTGCCCCAGTGAGTCGGGGTGATGCAGTGCTGAAGAGTGGCTGGCTGCTGCGTCGACCAGGAGAGGGAGTACGTCTCTGCTTGCTGACCGGCCGAAGTGCAGTGTGCTGTGCCAAAGTTGCTGTAGGTGCTGACCAGGAATGCGCGTTGGCTGCATGCTGGTGGTCAGGGAACCCGTTGTGGCCGTGGAAGCTGGCTGACTGTAAGACTCGCTGCTTGAAAGTTCGAGGAAGTGATGACGTCATGGCTATGACGTAGTTGCACGAAGGCTGCGTTGATGTTCATGCTCGGGATCACCAGTTTAGAGATATGAGAAACAGGGTGGAAAGTTCCTCATCCTCCACATCTATCATTAGCAGTCAGCAAAGCAAACATTACTGTTGCCATCGATAGGTGGCGCTGTTACAGTAGCAACGTGATACGCTGTTAAAATATTTTTTTCATATCTGTCCCTTTCATTTGTATTTTCAGAGCTGTATTAGAAACTAAGTGGGTACCTACTTATTTACTATTTTAGGACATCAAAACTATAAACCAGTTACTTATTTATCTTAGAATGTTTTTTCCAGAGTTTGAAATAAATTCAACCAGAGGTAAAATTCCACCTCCTGAAGAAAAAAAAGCCCCAAAAACCATCGAAGAGTATGAGGAACAAGAGGCTAAAGAAATTGAAAACTTGGGAAAAGCTGGTGTTGGTTTAGGTGATCTAAAAACTCCTGAGTATACAATGAACTATCAGCAGTCTGTCTCCGCTGAAGATGTGTACCTTCAGGTAATATTTATATTTTTACTTCTTAGATAGTTACTTAAATAGGCGTACCTGGAGATAACCTAGTCCCAGGTGTAACGAGTCCCTATAAAGTTGTCAACGACCTGCCTAGGTAATCAATTTCTAATAATTAGGTACCTACTCAACGCGTTTTGTTAGGTACCTAGATTAACTTTGTAAAATTAAAAATTATAAAACTAATATCTTTTTTTTATGTGATAGGACGGCAAACGAGCATACGGATTACCTGATGGTAAGCAATCAGCGTCGCCCATGGACACCCGCAACAAAGAAGGAGTTACGAGTGCGTTGCCGACCTTTTAAGGATTGGGATTTTGGGGATTTAGGGATTGGGGTAGGGGAAGGATTGGGCCTCCGGTAACCTCACTCACACGGCGAAACACAACGTTGTGGTTGTTTCACGCCGGTTTTCTGTGAGGCCGAGGTATCACTCCGGTCGAGCCGACCCATTCGTGCCGAAGCATGGCTCTCCCACACTTAAATCTATATCCATTTCAATACATTTAACCTATCAGTTTTATATTCGAAATTTAAATATAAAAAATATACCTACTTAGTTAGGTAGGTACCTACCTTAGGTCAGTTGTCTCCGTTTTCACTACAATCCTTGGTATCCCTGATGAAGCACCATAAGTGGAGCGTAGGTAGGTAAGTATAACCACTAGAAAATTATTGATTTGAAATATTTTTTATTGCATTCCAGATTGGCCCAAAAACCCCAGCATCGGCAAGTTGCGAAAATCTTATCGTTCGAATTAAGATGCCGGGGGATAAGAAAGAAAATGTAGATTTGACAGTAGACACAAACAGTGTGGCCGTGGTGTCCTCCCAGTATTCATTAAAACTTCCCCTACCTCATGGTATTGACCCTGACCGGTCTAAGGCTAGCTGGGAATCCGACCAGGAAACATTGGTGCTGACCTTGAAACTGGATAGAGAATTTGACTTTGTTAATTTTTAAACTAAATAAACTGTGTGAAAATGCCTTTTATTATATTTTATTCACATCATAGGTAATAGCTACATACAGTACAAATATCTCTGCATATGTCCTATGAATGTAGATACAGTACCTAGTCATGTCAAGTCGTGACCATCAAGAGCTATTTGAGATATGCGACTCAGGACACTGGAAGCAGGTACCTAGATGATTTTATTGTTTAACTAGCAACCCGTCCCAGCTTCGCTTGTGCTGTTATACATAAGTAAAAAACCGCATCAAAATCCGTTGCGTAGTTTTAAAGATTTAAGCATACCTAACCTACTTACATAGATATATCAAAGGTTACTTATCCCCGCATACACTACTACATATGTATAGGGACAGAGATAGCAAAGTTTTATACTAGGTACTGTGTAGTGATAAACGTTGCCCCACAATAGGACTTTCTCCTGTGTCGTGGGTGCTTTTAAAAACATACAATGTCATATCATATTTGGATCACATAAAGAGTTGTCTGGTGCGGGAATCGATATCAAGAAACGTTGGCACATCAGTATATTTCTCAGTCATGGTGCCAACCTACATAAGCTAAATTATGTCCGGAAGTAAATTATACGTAGACATTATGAAATATGAAGCACCTCAATACATAATTTGAATCGTAGATCATAATCAAGCTACGCTTGAAGGCAGGCCGTATTGTAACAAGTGACTGCCAGTGTCCTCCTCAATTAATATTAAATGTGATGGGTTTGAAATGAAATTGGCATTCAGAAGATTGTAATCACCATGCGTTTAATAAGGTACCAAGTGAGTGACCTAGATATTTCTAAAACACAAGGAGTTTCTAGGCTATTTGAGTAATATAAGTAGGTACTTTCTTACCTTTGAAGAACCAAAAGACAAAAAGGTTTTTTTAAATAATTTTTCACCATTAAATCTTTTTAATGTTCGCTACTAATAAGAAAATCTGTTTGTACAGAAATATTAAACTTATAAGTAAATATACAAATTGTAAAAGTTAAAATTGATTTTATGTTTTTTTCAATATACTTGATAAAGTGCCTCTAATCCCATGACAATTAGGCTCATGATAACACCTTTAATCAAACTATGATTTTTTCATTTATATTAGGTATTCACGAGTTTGTACCTAACAGTTTTTTTAATATTATTGGTTGGGTTACTCTTGCACTTATTGTGCTATCCGCAAAAAGATTAAAAAAAAAGAAACTTATTTTTTTAGTCTATGGCCGATGCGCGCGCATAGGAACACAGGATGGATTTTTCCCGCCATTACGATACATTGTTCATATCTCGTCTCGTTTTCTCTTTTAAACTTTTTAATTTTAAGTATTATTTTATTCAGAAGTGTGTTGAACAACATCGTATGATACACGTGTGTATTGATGATTACGGTCCTCGGCTCTTTAAGACCCTCGGCTGCCAGCTAGGGCCTCGATGCGCCTTAGCGGTAATCATCAACATTACAATAAGTAGGTAAATTTACTTTTAAGTACAATACGGCCGCCGTATCTTGCCGAGTCTGAAGTTAGCCGATTAGCTGCGCAGTACACAATTTTGTTCCTAAAAGATCCATTGCGCAGACAAACGGCTAACTTCAGACTCGCCAGCGTAACAGATCTTTACACTATTATTGTTTTACTTGGCACCGAATTATAGATTATAAAATGGCTATTAATAATATTTTCTATTTAACAAAATAAAAACATTATTAAAAATTATAAAAAAAGCATTTTCATTGTAGAAAACAAAGAAAATTTATTTTTTGCTTTTTTGTTTAGGTAGGTAGGTTAGGTACTTTTTGAAAGGTCACTAGGTATAGTGAAAATAATAATATAGGTACTTAGAACACTTTTCATCGAAAATGTGTATAGACTATTCTTACATAAGATTTCGGGATCTACCAACATGGGATACCTAAACGTTTTAAATTCCTGTGCTTGAAGCTGCAATCGGTAGATAAATTTACTAAGAGCAAATAATAAGGTATCTTCTACCTGTAAAAATACAAATAAATATGATTATCTTCAATTATAATAATCATAATTAAGTATAATACCTAATACAACTTACTTCCACGTATAAAGGTGTATTACAGTAGGTCACGACGATAACTAGCTACACACATGATTCTGACAGATTCTGACACAAAATTAATTGGAGACCTTCACCTGTGGTTACACAAATAAGATGTTAAAATCAATGACGTATTATATATAGACACGTCATGAACCAACATCGCGGCGCTTAAAAACGGCGAAAATACTAGATAACTACTTCTACTAGTAAAGAAAGGGAAAGAAAATATGACATCGTATAGTGGAATGCCTTTGCTGGAGGGAGATAAATATACATCTTCAGTTACATCACAGGATAAGTAATAGTAACTACATTTTCATAAGATGGCCGCCATAAGATGGCGGGCGCCGGCGTCGAAAAAATAAAATAAAAATAGACTGTTTGGTGAACTTACGCATGAAATGACACATTTCTGTCTTTAACTTTTGGAGTATAATTTGTACATCGTCTGAACACACACGACGGCATGCTTTACTTATGTTTCGCACAGGTTTACACACACGATATAAATTAAAAACAAACGTCGCGTCGCGCGGCAGGTTGGTGCGTAACTAAGCGCGATGTTGTCAATTGCCTTCATTTCATGTTGTCATTTTAGAGCGCGGACAACGTATCTATAGATTTATACATCATTGGTTAAAATTTGTTCATCCACGTACGTGGGTAACTTATACAAATCTACGCTTCTTCCGATTTGGGATTTTAAAATACTTATGTATGTTGTGTCTTCAGATAAAATGCTATGGCTATAGCTATTAATGGCACCAAAAGCTCAGCGCCATTAAAGGCCACCGTTACTTCAAAAGATATATAGGTACATATCTTACGACATTTCCAATTTGTGTTGGTAGAGGTATGTGAAATTATGTTTGTAAACGTTTAATAAAAACTAAAAGGAAATAAAGAAAGAAAGTTTTCAGACGGTTTTTTTGACATGGGAAAATTATCATATGACTTCTCCCGCCCCGGATTTAGGAAGTGTTAAACTCTTACTGACTAAAAACCCTACCAGTCCTTCTCCTGCTCTAGGCCGGGGCCACAGTGCCTCATTGCGCTTACCCTGCAACCCCAGCCTGACCCCACAAAACGGGATTAAAACTTCAAATACCTACATTGTGCTTAGAGCTTCAAAAAAATTACCTAGATACCTATATATTACCCTGTTATCAGGGGTCCGACCATGCGGACGCGCTTGTCTAAGTTCAAGTCACATCAAGAGATATGTTAATATTTTGTTCTGTCCTGTTCCACTTAAATAATTGTATCTATTATCTTCTTCCCTTAATTTTTCCAATCCCATACCTATCTAAATGTATTATCTATGTCCGTTTAAAATTATTTAAAACCTTTAGTTTGGCACTTCTTAGAGACTTATATAAATTCAAGCACTCCCGAAGTATAAAAGTCATTTATTACAAATTAATACTCCTGTTTTATATTTACTTTCAATATTAAGCATTCTCATTCATAAAGTCCGTTACAGATTGAATTTTATACAAATATTTAAATGCGCATGATTCGTTTCGATTTCAGTCACATTGCCGCTCATGCTTTGGTATTGTTATAACTAAAATACCTAAGTACTTACTATTTATATATATAACTAGTACAGTTCTGTGGATTTACTTGTGTACTTTTTTTTAAACGCTGTCCCATGCTAGTTTGCTGATTCTCTGTCTTGTGGCCGTGTTTTGTGTAATTGTTCACACAATTTCATAGATACTTCACACCCAGACTGGGGACAATTTATGGATCGCACAGAGAGTTGTTCCGAGTGGGAATCGAACCAGTGACACGTTGCGCAGCAGTCACAGACAAGCCCAACCGAGCCACAGCGCCAACCGTGCAGTGATTTCAGTTAAAATTATTTTTTTAACAGCAATTAGAAGCTTATAATTAATTGCTGAGGACCTGAGCCAGGTGAAGTCGTCATGAATACCTGTAGTCTTCTTTGTTCACCTGGGTATTGAAGAACGAGCAAACACGAGGAATTTTCCAAGTGGTGGTTGAATGATGTAGCGTGAAGGGAAACTAAAAAAATGTGAAGGATAACCTGACACCAGTTTGATCGACTGATTTCACCTAAGTCGACAAAGGGGAGCGAGACCCTAAGAAAACGCCTCATGGTTTTTGGCAATGGATTACAAACAGCTTTAGTTCACAGCCATATTTCTACAAGCGAGTTGGTGATGGCGAGTTTATAAAATTAGGTTTCAGATGTTGTTATTTCAGTCGAATCTATAACCTGCGGGCTTACCATGACGTGTTCTATCTTTATATGTATAGATAGCTTCATCCCTCTTTCCAGCCCGGAAGATTGACGCTTTAACACGTCATGGTACGTCCACTGATCCTTTAATCCGTTCTACTGACATCCACAGGAAGAGAAAAGGGTATTATTTAGTCATTACACTTCTTAGAAAATTACCAAACAATAGGTAGGTACCTAATGAGGGTGTTTTAGTTACCTACATTTTATATTCGTAATAAACCTTCACCTCAAAAATATTATTAGATTTATGTTATCTAAGCAAAGGTCAGAGTTCTGTTTATTTCTAAAGTTAGTGGTACCTAGTACCTACACATAACACACGCACGCGCATATTCCTAAACCACACACGTAAATAGGTACACAAAGCAAAGTTAAATAATGATATGATAATAATTTGTAAGGTCACAAATAGATATATAATAACACAACCATTGAGTTCCGTACTTCCGTAGGTGCACAAATGGGATGTATTTTATAAGAATCATTCAAACAATAATATACAAATTAGTAATATTAATACTTACTTAAAATTAATTTAATTTAAATTAAGTGAATTGGAGTTCCTTGTATTCCGAAATAAGTATAACCTTGAAGTAGTGAGGTTTTAAAATAAATAAATTCGCGTTGTATTTTATTCTTACAGTTGATTGAATAATAATGGATTACATACCTAGCTGTTTGATAAGTATTAATTCAAAATACATAAGTATCCACAACGCAGTTACCATCTAACTTTAATAAACCATACTTCACACTGCAAATGCATTCGCTAAAGCAATAAACTTGAATACAAAGCTAGACAAATTAAATTTATTAAATATGCATGCTTTTATACAGATTAGGTACTAGGTACACACCAACGAGAAATTCGTGAAATGATCTCAACACTACTTTCATGAAGTCTGCTTGTATGTATGTAATTAATATTTAAACTTATAAGCATGTAAACATATAATGAAAAGAACCCCGGAGAACACATTCTTCATTCGCGCATACCTTGTCAATTGTTTTTTGCATGAAGTAGCTGCGGATCGTTTATCAAGGATTATTTTGTATTCGTTGCCGTGGTCAGTATGAGCGATACTCTATCGCTTACTTCAATTGAAGCAGTCGCGACAGCCGCGCGGCTGTGATTGGCGCACATTAAATACACCATCAAAATTCTTAAGACAACGCTATCAATAAACCTATTGGTCGTGAGAATGGTTTCTGTGAACTTTGCTAAAATAAGTCTTTTGTGATCAATTCATTGGAGTGTGATGTTATTAGATGAAACTTAATTAAATTAAATATCTTACTAACTGCTCGCGATAAGCTTTAAAAGTAAGTACTTTGATTATGTTTATATTAAATTGATGTATTTGTTTTTGTGCAATCTACTTATTGGCTGTTAAATTTAAAGTGGACATGGTTATTTAGTTAGATATTTAAGTTATTTTAAATATCTATTGAATATCCTAATAGTTGAGTAGGTTATTACTTATTTATTGTGTCGTATCAGCAAATATGCATGTTATTTCTAATTCTACTAAATATTAAATAAATGTTGAAGTCATTTAGTGATTTGCTGACTTACTTACGAATCAATTTGGTCACTGCACCGTCATCACAATAAGTCGGCCGTTGGTGTTCCACATTCGTAATGACAAATCGCTCATTCAATCCAATTTTAATTGACAATCTATTAAAGTGTACCATTTCAAGCAAACATTTCACCAATAAGTATTAATTTCATTTTTATTACCATAGGCACAGAGTTCATGAAATTCATATTGACTTGATGTATTCGGAATTGGCTTAGGAATGCAGATTTGAATTGATTTAAGTTGATAGGTACTATCGTTGATAATGACCATAACTTATTTCTTTTATAGCATGTATACACGGGGCGCCTTGTTGGTTCTAGTTTTGTTCCTATTAAATATAATAGTCGAAATTGACACAGCTAGACCTTGGGGTAATAAACGTGAGTATTTTTATTTACTTTAAATGTGGGAGAGCCATGCTTCGGCACGATAGGGTCGGCTCGACCGGAGTGATACCACGGCCTCATAGAAAACCGGCGTGAAATAACCAGAGTTGTGTTTCGCCGTGTGAGTGAGGTTACAGGAGGCCCAATCCTTCCTCTACCCCAATTTGTTCCCTTTACCAAAATCTCCAAATCCCTAATCCCTAAAAGGTCGACAACGCAATTTATAGCAAGTAAAAAAAAACACACTCCTCCGTCGTTGCGGTTCATGGGCGACGCTGATTGCTTACCATCAGGTAATCCGTTTGCTCGTTTGCCGACCTATCACAGACGACGAAACTATGTTTTTAAGTGGGGAAAATTATGCATTATATTCTCCTCCCATGGGTAACGGGGCTAGGTTAGGTTCAGGCTCTTACTAACCAAAAATTTCTCACTTTTTTCTCTTGTTGAATCGTCTTCGAGCTGATCCGCAGGTTCTGATAACGCTTTGCCCAGAACTTTGGTAGATTGTTAAATACAATATTGTAATCGTAAATTAATTGTACATAGAGTAGGTATACATGTACCACATATTTAAAAAAATATAAATTGTTTTGAATATGACTGAGTTAATGATGTTTATGGGCTTTAAAAATATGCAGAATTTACAGTATATTTTTCATAGAGCCGCATTCTTTAACTCCCAGGAACGTATTTACCAGTTCAAGCCATTGTTTCTATAGTATGTACATACATAAATTGTCCTTTATTAATACTATACATTGTGTTTCAATAGGTAATTCTAATATTGTTATTGTAACATTTCAGAACAGTTTCCTCCGCATTTAATACCAGATAATGCGCTTCATCCTAGAAGGTCGGTGGTGCGAAGAAAAATAGTTCTTTATCATAATTTCTTTCGCACAAAAGTACGGCCCCGTGCCGCTAATATGCTACTAATGGTGAGTTCGATTTATAATTAGAATTCTTAATACGTTTATCTGGAATGTAAATAAATACAATAAACAAAACTCTATTATTGAATTGAATACTGTCCAAGTTAAAGTTGATCGTAAATTAGTAATAGAAAGTCTATAGATAAGTTGGAAGGTATCTTAAAAAGTACAAAATAGTTATTTATTTTTCCATTCCTTATTTTCAAAGCTCTTTTCAGACATTTGTTCTTTTTTTTTCATACATGGTGTACCAGAAGTTCCAAAAATAATGTTGTTGTTTTTGTTTTTGAAATTGAGCACCTTTCGTTGCTTTGACTGTAACAAAAAAAGGACATTTATTTTAAATCGGTAGTACACTTACAGGAAAAAAGTAGTAAGTGAAACTCCAGCTTCCTGTCTGATAAATTCACTACCAGATTGTTACCCAAATAAGGTACAAAAAATAACAAAATATTTTGTTGGAACTGAAAGCTGTTGAATTTCATAATACACGACATTTTTATTTTTATTTGCTTTAGCTTATGAATATTTGACGGAATAACAAAACACTTCGATGTTCTGCCAGGCCGCTTTTCTTTAACTATAAGATCAACTTTTTATCATAAGTTCAACCTGGAAAGAATTTTGTGGTAAATTTCTAAGGATTCCAATTACTTAATCTACACTTTAAATTCAGAAATCACGTGTGAACCTTTAGATACTGTGCTATATATTTGTTCATAGTATGACATTTTACCTACCTATTAGCTATAAATAATACAAATCAAGTTAGCCATTGAAAGACTTGACTTGACTTGTATGTTAAAATCTTGGACTACCTAGAATTAAGCATATAAATAGCTAAAAAGTTTATTAAATAATTAAAATGTTGTTTATATTTTGTATAAACAAGTTACTGTGGATTGTACATGGGCATAAAAACTCGTGCTCCACTTAAAGTATGATATAAAAGTGTTGCGTAATATCTGAGAATACCATGTAGTCGATAAGTGTACCTGCCTATCATGCCTATTTAAGAGGTCTTCATTCAAATAGACTCATTTAACCCTGCAGCCAGCTCGTTTTACTAACAAATTGGCGCTACGTATGGCGCCTCTTTGCTATAAACCTACTTGTAATGAAACAAATCACGCTATTTGTTACAATTTGCTTGATAATATTGCACTTTGTTGAAGGATATCTCGTTTTAGTTCGTTATTAAAGAAACTTTGTGTTACAATAGTCTAAGTATATAGTGGTAATATGTACATAGAAGTTTCGAGTTTTCATTCTCGTATTCAGCAAAATTGAGATTGATTTCCATAAAAAGTTCAAATCTACATTTCATTATACCTAGTAAGCATTGTTATTAGGACGATTATCATTTGAAGTTCTGAAGAAAAACAGTATAAAAGGAGTGCAGACTGCAGAAACTACCAATGCATTAAATAATGGTATTGTAAATCACTTTCAGACGTGGCACGCAGGCGCGGCTCGACAAGCTCAGGCTTACGCGGAAAAATGCCAGTTCTTAAAGCACAATGATGTCAGGGAAAACCAGGTGCCACATCTAGGCACTTGTGGCCAGAATCTGTTCGTAGCAGCACAGAAAACTCCGTGGTAAGTACTTTTTGTGGTTAATTACCTCTGCGGTTGGATATCAACATTTTTTCCAACCAATTAAATACAATTAAATTCCTAAAATCTCAAGCCGGTTTCCTGATTTTTTTTTGTCTAAAGTAAAAACTAACAAAGAACTTTATTTACATTCTTTTGAGTAAGTTGAAGTGTTCGTATTTCAACGTCTTTGTTTTAATATAAGTACATTATCGTTACTATTTACTTATTTACTTATTTTATCTACTAAGTTTCATTTTCAATGGAGTCACGGTCTTATGTACCCTATTATAAATTGTATTGTGTGATATATATTTTTTTCAATCACAGCTGATTATTACGTCTACATTCATGTAGGTATCGTAGAAAAGTAAGAACATAATATATAAAACTATTAATATAATTTTATCATAATAAATAACGGAGAGAGACAAAACGCATAGTCGTTAATCCACGAATAGGCGTTAATTTTGAAAATGACTAATTATTGATTCGTATCGGACTACAAAATCTTTTACGTATATGAAATTCAAGTATCTACTTCGTTTATATTTATTTGTATAATACATTTAAGTAAATGTGTTTTAAATCACAGAGGGATAATTAAGTAGGGAGGGAAAAATATAAAGTAAATGTAAAGAAATATAAATAGATACAAATACTTACCCTGCCCTCTCTCCTCGTATCTTTTCAGACCTCATAATAACAATAATAACTCTTAGGTAATAGTAGCCGTATTACAATTTTGTATTATGTAATAATGTTATACTATTACTTCTCATGACTCGATGGCCAGTAATCAATGATGGTAGCTCTATTGTTGTAACGACAATGTTTAATAATATTAACAGATCGTATAACTTTTTATAGTAGGTATTCAAATCCATGTCAATTGTATAAACAATACATTTCTCACCAAATTCCCTGTTTGGGCGGGTGTTGTAGTCGACTTTAGTTCCCTTTTGTAGGGTTACAGATTATACAATGATCGCAATGTTTTTTTAAGTAGGGTGTACTCATCAATTTACTTTAGTCATCCTGGGTGGGAGACCTTTAATTGACCATTGTATGACTCTTTATCTCATCATCAGCCTATAAATGCCCACTGCTGACCAAAAGCCTCTTCTTACACAGAAAGTTTGAGCATTAACCGCCACGCTTGCTCAAAGTGGATTAGCTGCTTAAAACTTATAATTAGAAATTATAAGTCCAAGTTTCCGCACGATGTTTTCCCTCACCGTATAGTTTACATAATTCGAAAAAAGTCACATTGGTAGTAGCCAGGTTAATTTCCCGTAATCTCAAATTATAAGTTCCAGGTTTTCTCGCGATGTTTTCCTTCAGTCTGTCAGACTCTTACTGTCTGAAAATTACCCAGTTCCTTCTCCTGCTCCGACTTGGGGCCGCGGTACCTTATTGCAGTTGCACCAGAAACAAACTAGAACCTTTTTAACAGCATTCTTGAAACCTTTGGCTGGTATGTAGTTTCTAAAAAGTACGGCGAGTTCTCTAACATAGCAATCTAATAAACTACCGGGTGTAAAGGCTGTTGATGAGAGTTCATAGTACTTGAAAAGAAAATAATGTCTTCTTTAGAAAGGGTTAAAGGTCTTTGTCTTTTAGTATGGACTATAAGAAGTGAAAGAAATCGTGTAGCGAAGCGAGTGCTGAAAAAGGGTTTATCGTTTCACTTTTGGCATGGAAGGAACGTCCTTAAATTACAATAACTACTCTGTTTTGTCGGTATGCTTCGACACGAACGATCATTTTTTGCCGCAGTGTAATCAGCGTGAAACAAAGCTTACGTTATGTTTCACCGTATATGTGAGGTTACCGAAAGCCATCCTATCCCCCATCGCAACTCCCCTGGTTGTCGATATCCACGGACAATCGTCAGTCGAAGTCTAGGCAAAAAGTTACTAGAGTTCAAAGATTGTAACTCATTAGTAAGGCTCCATACACGTGGTTGAACTTACTTAAACGTGTAAAATTAACTATATAACCTTATGTACGTAATACCGAGCAGCTAAGCTTTGATTTAATTAGTTTCGGTCACATTATCTACACTAATAATTAATTTTGCGTATTAAGAAGTAGTAAATAATTTCAATTGAAACTTCACATTTGTTATCTCAGAAACAATTAGTAAGCTTGCTAATATGATACGTATTTAGAAATGATCAATTACCTAGCTATAGTCCTTACCTTTACACACTGGAATTGTGAGAGAACTAAAGAACAAAAATACTGGCAACGCTTGCATTTCTTTATTTTTTTTTTAAGTTTCTCTACAATAATTATTTCTCTAGTATCATGGGTGCCTTTACAAACATACAAATTCATATACACAAGTCATCCAGACACAACCATTTGTGGATCACACAAAGTGTTGTTCCGTGCGGGAATAGAACCTGCGACGCGCCCAGCCACTGCGTCAACTATAGATTCATTGTGTTTTGCCTTGTAAGTAACGTAAGGAGGCCCAATATTTGTTCCATCCCCAATCATGACATCTTTAACAACCCCTAAAAGGCTAGCAACGCTTTTGTGACTTTTATGGTATTTCGAGTGAACACAATCGATGTGCTAGTTCTAATAAAAATTCTAATCCCTCTGCCATCAAATTGGAAAAAGATATTAAAGTATAGAGACAGCAGACACCCTTTTACTTATACTTTCTGAAAACCGCAAACGAGATTTACCCATATAGTATATTTTTTTATTATTTACTACGAGGTTTCTTTACTAGACAATACATTACTTTAAAAGATAAATTACTCATTTTTTATTCGTTTCCTTACTTACCTACTGTTTTTTATTTGTTTTGTAATAAAAACTCTTTGATTTCCTAGTGTTGGACGGCCGTAGTCTACTCACGACTGTCTTTGTATCTTCTGTGCCATAATAGTTAATTCGTGAACCAATGATTATATTTAATTATTGTAGGATTGCCCTTTATTGCTGCCGCATGCATTGGTAGGTTTTAAGGTAATGATTGCGAACAATACAATATGTACTTGTGTAGTTATTGTACATACAAAGTTTATATCACCGCGTCTTATTTTAACTACCGAAGGGGTACTAGAGCTAGGAGTGTAAATAAAAATATGCTGTACCTAAAAATAATATCCTATTTTTATTGCTTTTTAACGCATTGGTAAAAGTTTAATAAAAAAGTGACAGCCTGTCGGTCAGTCCTCTTAGTGAATTTTATTTAATTAACTACGATAGTAATGTGTATTTACAGTTTTTAAAAAATGTGCAGCTTTTAACAAAGCATCACCTTAAGAAAACCGTAGATTTTTTTGAATCTTTACCTGGTAATAGTTATCGGTAAGACGAAAAAACCAACTACATACTCGAACAGCATTGGACGGCAGCTTACAATGTTCTATCCGTTCGGTCAAGGAACAAGTGGGGAGCAACTGTCTGTAAGAAAATAATTCCAAAATCATAGCCCTTCAGTAACGAGGAAAACAATGGGAGGATAGGGGAAGATGGGGAGGAATTATCTTACATAGTAGATCTGTTTCCATGTCTAAGTACACAGAAACTCTTTGAAGAATACTCTTTAGTATTTTTAACTATACATGTAGGATATTAATACTATTTTAATACGTAACGTGAGATAGATTTCAAGTTTTAAAACGTGATTACGACTCGTCTAGATAAGTATTTAATGTAAGTACAAGCCAAGCACAGCACCTGAAGCTTCTCTCAACTGCAACATGTCACAAAAGATTTTAGACGTTGGAACAAAAGCATAACGATGAATATGTAATGACAAATTCTGATAGATTGAGGTAACTTGATGTGCGGAACGTTCGTTTCTAGTTTTAGTTTTATTAGGAGATTCTTATGTAAATAATGAACACGACTAGACGACGTAATATATGGAGGACGTGATTCAAATTAACAAGCTTCTACCTAATGTACAAAAAATATAGCAAAAACTATTTACCGTCACTTTATTTTAAAGGTAAACTATAATTAGGTACCTATTTCGTTATAAACTAATTTAAAAATGTCTAAATGCTCCGCTAGTCTTCTAGTAATTAATTGTGGTTAAGGTTCATAATTTCATGCATGTACATGTTGATTTCAATTTTTCTGGGTCTTGGTAACTTATCATATTTTAAATTATATTAATTATATTATTAAAAGATATATGATATTAATCATATTAAATTATCCAGCCCATTTTTATTGTAAAGAATCTATCTATGTATAATTGTATTGAATATCCGCGTTTTATCTTAACCCAAACCTATCATTAGAAGCATTCAATCGAAAATATTATTTCGATGACGAGATTCGAACTCATATTTTTTGAACGAAAACATCATCTTTCAATAGGTCACCTATATTGTCTCTTCCTTGAAGACTTATGCAGTCTGCGTAGTTATTTGGTATGCAGCTTTAAAAGAATTAAGATAGACTCGATGCTGCAGCGTTAGTAACAATAATTACAAAGCCGAAAAATCGTAACAAAATATAAATATGACTTCATTTTGAATGCACAGTTGGCGCAGTGGCTGGGCGACTGGCTGCCGCACATGTAGCGTTTCGATTCCCACACGGAACAACTCTTTGTGTGATCCACAAATTGTTGTTCCGAGTCTGGGTGTGATGTGTATATTTTTAAACGCATCCGACGACACAGGAGAAAAACCGAGTATGGGGCAACGTTTAAAAAAAAGATAAAGATAAAGATTATTAATAAAAACCATAATTATATTTACAAATTATATTTGGTTTAACAATAAATAGCTCTGTACTAAATGTATCTCAACAATGGCTTAACCAATTTCGTCAATTCTTTTTTATTGTGTTTGTTATGGTCAGGTGATGGTATTTTGTGGAAAGAAAATTTTTTAAAAGCATAGTGAAAAATCGGGACATTGCAACCGGTAAACTGGTTGGATACCCATGCAAAGCAAGGACGGGCTGCTAGTGGTACACTAGTTTACAAATCTGACCTAATTAACAAATATTACATTTCTTCATTACAGGTTCTTCGCAATTAAGACATGGTACCTGGAATACCAGAACTTCACCTATGGCAATCCTGTTTACAACCTGAAGACCATCGGGCATTACACACAAATGGTGTGGGCTACTAGTCATAAAGTTGGATGCGGTGTGGCCCATTGCAGAGGAGGGCCATGGGGACATTTCTATAATTACGTGTGTCATTACTGTCCAGGGTAAGCAGAGTATAATGTTTTTGTTGTTTTTAATGTGATAGTTCGGCAAACGAGCAAACGGATTACTTGATGGAAAGCAATTAGCGCCGCCCATGGACACTCGCACACTTGGGTTTGGGGAGAGATTGAGGAGGGGAAGGATTGGGCCTCAGGAGGTAGCCTCCATCACACGGCGAAACAAGACACTGGTTGTTTCTAGCAGGTTTTCTGCGGGGCGGGTTATCACTCCTGTCGAACCTACCACACTAAAAAATTGAAAGCGTTTGTGTTTCTCTGTCGTCTCCATTATAATATGTAGGATATGACTTTTGTACAATTTTATTTTACCTTAAAATATGACCCTTTTCCTTGGTATCAAAATGTATATTTTTATACATGACAAACTCGTTGGTCCAGTCTTAGTTTTCGGGTTGAGCATATGTCGAAATTATCACCAAGTCAAGTATTGTAAGCCATTTTGCATGGAATTCTTGACATAAAAGGGGAGAAGTATGTCATTTTATGTCCATTTCTTTCCTTTATCTACCACAAAATACATAGAATGGTTATATTATTGGAACCGCTGAATATATCTAGTTATACCATTAGTTTCTTTATAGCTATAATCTTACGAATCATATTTTCAACAAGTATTTTGCTTCTACTACTTCCAATCACTCGAACTGCTTATCTGGAGAGATTATTAGAAATCTAACAGACTGTTAATAGTTATGTAATTGTTTGTGATGGTAACACAGTTTAAATATTTCGAAGGTTTGATTCCCGCATGTATTAACTTTTTGTGTGATTAACAAATTGTTTTTGCGGGTCTGGCGTGACTTTTTTCTTTTTTCTCCCACCCTGGTTGTGGTAAAAGGGAGTGTCAGAGTCTTACAAATTAAAAACCATTCCGTTCCTTCTTTATCTATAGGCTGGAGCTGCGGTACATTATGCACTTACCCTACAACTCCAGCCAGCGTTCTGATGTGTATGAGAAATAATATGTTTATAAACAAACCCACGACACAGGAGATAATCCTAGTGTGAGGCAAAGTTAAAAAAGGCCTTTTGTACCATTGTGTGTCGATTGCAAGAAACTGTAATATTACGTAAGCGTCGTCGACTTCATTATTCTATTCCTGTTCCTTGGATCGTTTGTCCTCACTACCGGTATTCTGTAAAACAATTTAAGTATTTATAAGAATAGACTAAATGTTATTCACAACATCGAACATTAAACTAAAAATCAAACATTTATTATGATTAATTAAACATTTTTAAATTTCCCTTCAATCTCTACCCACGGTTATAGGTACAACTAGCTACTCTCGCGCGGTTTCACCCGCTGCTCGGCTCCTTTTAATCATAGCGTGATCTTTTATAGCCTATAGCACTCAGGAACATTGTACGTATCTATCAGTGAAAGAATTTTGACAATCCGACCAGCGGTTCCAAAGATTACCCCCTACATACAAACTTACAAATTTTGCCTCTTTATAGTATAGATTACTAAGTAATTGTTCGATGTTTTTACTTTGACTATTAGTTGTCAAGCCACAACCAACAATAAAGAGTTATCAAAAAGACAGACTCTCATAATCATAACAATACTGCCCTTAAAAGCTATTTTTATTTCTTTTTCAGTGGCAACTACCACAGCATAACGCAGTATCCATACAAAATTGGGGAGCCGTGTGGAGATTGTCCCAACCACTGCTTATCAGGATCCTTATGTACAAACGCATGCCACAAGATGGATTACTATTCTAACTGTCCAGAACTGGTGTCCATCACGAAGGAAGTATGTGAACGTGGGCTTTGCAATGCCACGTGCAACTGCGCTGAGGAAAAAATACACAGAAATTATCCTTGGAGATAAAAACCTCTTTTTTAATGCCATAAAGCTATAACGCTATCCGTTCAAGGTCATAATAGGCACGCACAGATACAAAATTGTAAATGTAGGTACATAGCAGTATGTATGTACATGTGTGCGTATTTTTATGTTATTTACTGCCAATTTTTTTGACACAAGACAATAATCAGTTAAGCCATAGTCTGTTTAAGTTACAAATTGTTTGTAAATAAATATTAAGTCTGTAAATTGCGGTTTTTTACTTTGTTTCGCCCTTTAAGTATGGATAGAGAGCACGGGTCTGCGGTCGGCGAGTAAGGGCAGCTCGCCGCCCGACCAGAACCAGGCCCGAGCGTACGGCGCGTAGCGTTCCGCGCGCGCCTCAAAGAGCTATTAGACCACCACAGATGGGGCCCTAAAGGGCTGATGTTCAGCCGGGGTTGCGAGGTAAGCGCAACGAGGCACCGCGACCTCGGCACAGAGCAGGAGAAGGAACAGGGGGGTTTTTAGTCAGTAAGAGTCTGACACTCCCTCCTACCCGGCCCTGGGCGGGAAAGGCATTTGATGATTTTCCCCTCACAAAAAAAAAAGTATGGATAGAGAATTCTGTTTAACTAAGATGTACGAAAATAATTTAAGTGTGGAAGAGCCGTGCTTCGGCACGAATGCGTCGGCTAGACCGGAGTAATATCACAGCCTGATAGAAATCCGGCGTGAAACTACCACAACAATGTGTCTTGCCGTGTGAGAGAGATAAACGGGGCCCCAATTCTTTCCCTCTCCAATCCTTCCTCAATCCCTTAATCCCCAAAAGGCCGGCAACGCACTCTTAACTCTTACGCTGCTGCGGCGGCCCTGATTGCTTACCAACAGGTAATAAGACTGCTCGTTTCCCGTCCTATCACTAAAAAAATATATAAGTTATCAAATAGAGATATTATTCCAACCTAAATTGTCATCATCTTCATTGACTGATAGATGTAGTAAACATAGGCTCCTTAAATTCCGAACCAAAGAACTTCAGCTTTTTAAAAAGTAATCTTAAGGTAGATAGTAAAGGTAAATCTTGTTCTGTATTCTGAGGGTTAATATTATTCTTCTTAATCTTAAGTAAGGTACCTTTTCAAAAAATAAATTCAAATATTATAGACTGCACGGCACAGTGGCCGGCGTTTCCCGCACGGAGAAATACTGTAATACACTAATTGCTGTTTCGGGTCTGGATGATTTGTGTACGCGAATTTATAGGTTCATAATCGCACTCACTACACAGGAAAAGAAAAAGAAATATATTTCTCTAAATTATAATTATGTATTGTCAGCTTACTAAGAAAATTTTATAAATATTATTTGGACGTTGTATAAACTGTACATGGCCTATTTTTTTATTTTAATTGTTCACATGGAAAGAAATAAGCTTAAAATTGTTAGACGTCAGCCTAGTCAGCCAACAGAACATTAATTTAAAAACAGAAAACTCTCTCTCTCTTTACATAAACTACGTAGGTTACCTAAAACCTTTACTATATTTCAAACTAGCTTCTCTCGCGCGATTTTACCCGCTGCTCGGCTCTATTTGATCGTAGCGTGATGTTTTATAGCCTATAGCACTCAGGAACATTGTAGCTATCTACCAGTGAAAGAATTTTGGCAATCCGAAGATTACTCCCTACATACAAACTTACAAATTTTACCTCTTTGTAATAATAGGTCTTTACCTATGAAATTGCCGTTTTGCATGAAAAAATTAAAACGGATTTTTTGATTTGAAATGCGATGAAAATGTAACACTAATCAATAAACAAATGACTACTTTTGAAAAAAGAATCCCATGTTTCTAAAACAAAAATAATTAGCCTTAGCCTAACAAAAACTATTTTGATTTGAAGTGGCCAGTACTGCAGAACGGCAATTCCATAGGTAAAGACTATTATTAGTATAGAAAAATAAAATAACTGACGTACTTTACGTAAGTTATTTAATTTTGGTAATTCATATTGATTCTCATTTTCCGGTATTTTGTTAACTCCGAAGGGTTTAGAGTTGTTGTGCAGCAGGTGAGTCAACAGGTGGGGTGGTTGTCGGTGCGGAACCAACCACGAGGCCCTAACGTCCCTTTCTTTCGAACTGTCTATGTTTTGGTTATTATCGGATAACGTAGGACCTTACTAAAAATTCAAAAGAATCCTCGTTTAAATATACAGTAATGATATTGTTAATATTAAAAAAGTTCCTGCTAATTTCTTAAATTTTATAACCGTCTTAAAAGTCAATTTAAAGTTATCGAAGATAATTATTTTTCCAAAAACAAAAACATCGGTACATACCTTGCTGTAGATGACAAGCCATAGTGAATTTTATTGGCATTAATTTGTATTCAGTCATGTTCCCGAGTGACCGAGCAACATGTTTCCCACCCCCACCACGAGTCCGACCCAATTGTAATGCAGCGGCGGCCGGGTCCGGCGCGCGGGCATTGTGCGCGCACCGCTCCCGTCGCCACCTGCCGCGCTGGCCGCGCACCATGGTCGCGCAACAGGCGCTCCACGCCTCATCGCCTGCCGCGCCGCGCAAGTCTCTGCGCCGGCTCGCCTCCACGCGAGGCTTCAAACCCCGCGCAGCTAACGACTATGGCTGGATTCGCGTCTTTGAAGGCCTCGAACCGTTCGCCATCGATGCGCCTAGCAAGCTTATCAAGGTTACACTCAATACCACCGTGGAAGAAGTGAATAAAAATCTTGGTTTCAATGACGAGCTGTCACTCTGGCTGCAAATTGGCGGAGGAAATTCACGACGATTGGAACACGATGAGTATCCTTTGCGGATCCAGGAACAATACTTAGCAACATGTGGTTGGAGATCACAGGCGCGCAGGATGCGACTGGCAGTAGACCCGGAACTGAGGCATACGTTGAGGTGGTGTGCAGGACCTGCTCCGCGCTCTGGAGGAGTGCTCAGATCTGGGACAGTTTACGTGCTGAAAGGACATGTATTTCCCCAGTGGAAACCCCGGCCAGCTTATGTGATAGGATCAAGACTACATTCTTACGGTATGTAGCACTCATTTTATTATTATGTTCAATTAAAAATAAAACCTCCTTGGAATGGCATAAGAACTTACTATCGTACTTAACATTTTCAGGCACAACCTGGGAAATGTTAGAACTGAGTGGCGGTAGTATTGAGTTATGTCAACCCAAGGCTCAAAGACTCGTGCTCTGCGTGAAACCGCGTTGTCAAGGCAACATCACATCCGGAGACAACAGTATGAATCATCTCTTCCTTGGATTCAGTACCATTTGGGAGAGAAACATGTGGTTCTGCTGGTTAAAAGAGGTATGTTGGTAGTTATGTTCAGCTTCGTAGACGCGAGCATGCAAACTAATCTATTTCTAAAGTTAAACAAGTGTAAGCAAATTGGTTGAGTACGGTTGTCAGGTAAGCACGAGTTTAAGCAGTGTAATTGGAGCAAATCTGATGTAGTTTTATGTTTAGTTCCGTCGCGCGCTCTACAGCGTGCAGATATGAGCTCTTAGCAGATGATTGAGAATTTGATTCCGGTACACTTCTCAAACTAACGAACCGTCAAGCTAACAGCGGTAAATTGTTAGAAATTCTCTAAAGCTTATCAAGTTTTTGACGTTTCAATGTACAATTTGACGTCAATCACAATAGCGTTGTGTAAGCACGACGTTTGTATGGTGCTGTAATATCACAACAGTTATTATTTTCATCACATACCATGTTCATGACGCTTTCTTAGGTACTCATGATCATAACTATCAGTGGGAACAATGGCCTGAAAAATTGTAAACAAGAAACTCTTGCTCATTGCTAATAACTTCGTAATAAATTGAAATCGCGTACTTGTATGAAATTATTCATGAACATGTTCGTGAATTATTTATGTTGTTGTGCGACGCATTGAATTTAATTGTTATCGTTTGATTATTAAATTTCTAAAGATAAGGTATGCATACTAAAGAGTTTTATGATGGAACATACGAAAACTGTGTTAATTAAAAATAGTGTGCACTACACCCTGAAAGAAATGTCACGGTCGAGATGTGCAGAATATGATGGTTGCGACTGCGCCGGTGATAGTGGCCCGCGAGCACGCTGCCACTTCACAAGTAAAAAGTCACTCGCAGCGGTCGCACTAAGCTTACCTTCAGTGAACAATTCGCTTTCGTTAACTGTGCTACGTAACTTATTTGTAAACAATACCGGTTGTGTTTAAATAAATCAAAATAAATCAATTTCGACTAATAAACCACAAGTCACATCAAAATCTACTTTTAGCATTTCTGGCAAATCATTCAATGATCACGGTTACCAGAAATCAGAATTAATCAAGGACAAACGCCATTTATGCAAGTAACGACGACGTGAATGGAATAATGAACTACACAGGAGTTACTCCGTAGTCTTTGGGAATAACAATGCTCGAAGGAGTTCGTCGGCCCCATTGTGGTTACACACCGAGACAGACGAACACTGTTTTACTGCAGTTGCTTTTAAAATGTCATTTGATGTAAAGACAAAGATACGTTTACCATTAAACTCTTTAGTTTTATTGTTTGTGTTGTGTAAGTGTTAGTACAGTGTGATGGTAGAAAGAAAAACGATGAAGTGTGAAGAAGAGGCGGTCGACAGTCTCGATGTGTTCACACAACACAACCCTGAAGATATTTACCTGGACAGCTTGGAGCCTAACACGTTCAGAGAAAAATGTGAACTTTCGGTTGGTCAATTCATGCTTCTTAAACATAAACTTTCTCATTAGCTATTCGTTGCTGCGTAACAAATACACTGTATTTTACTCACCTACCAATGATTGTTATCTTAGTGGTGAAATTTTCACTTACAGAAGAAGGAAAAAAGCAGATAGATCACAATACATATTTTTTCGGAATTGAGGAAGAGATTTGAAGACAATGTGTCTTTACAAAGCTATTATAGTACCAATGCATTATATCAACTATGGATTGCATCGGATTGAATAACGGTTAAGCTGATACCGAAAACTATAACTATTGATATTGTTCTAGGGGACACAAAGTACGCAGCCGCCCAATGTTCTAGACCTGAGTGG